TCTGCCAGGTGGGTCGGGGGATCCACTGCACGCCCCGCGGGCGGCTCTAGGGCGCGGGGGGGGTGTGTGTGTGTGTGAACGTCCGACTCCTCAGATCTAAACCGGCGAGTTTCAAATTATTTAAGGTATTGGCGCGGTCGGAAATAACATTTCAAGTTGAAGGTGGATGCGATCGTGCTCCGCACATATGGAAACGCTCAGGTAAACGATTTATTTTAATATTGCCTTTTGGCAGCTGGAATTTAATCTATTTTATTTGTACCTCTCTGCAGTTACCTTGCTGGATTCCAGATCAGTTCAGGGAGAACTGGGGTGGATAGCAAGTCCCCTGGAAGGAGGGGTAAGTTTTAAACCGCTATCTGATCAAAAGGGTAAAGGGGGTGATTAGTAACTTTCAGAGAGTCCTGATGGCTCGATTATTGTTGATTGTGGTGAGGAGGTCAGATTTCTTCCCTGGCTTACCAAGTGAATTACTCTTTGTTGCAGAAACTCTATACTCCCTTTGGATAGTTCTGTCATGGAAGAAGTGGAAACCTAAAGGGCAGAAAAGAGGTTTCAGAATTAGGAGATTGGTTGAGGCACGGGCTTAGATGCCTATTTAAAACTGAAATACCAACAAGAAATGTGATCTGGCGACTGAACTGGCATTCTTGACTGTAATTATTATATCTGTGGGCCGTCTCGGCTGGGAGATGTTCAGGGCAATTGCTGTTCTATTTCTGGATGAAGGAGTAGGGATCAATATACAAGATAGACCTTTTGGCGTGATGGGACAGTTGCCCTGTTTCAGGGTGTAAACATCATATGTTTTGGTCTCTGAACATATAAACTGAAGCACCCAGTGCTTGATGGTGATTCCTTGGAGTTTCTTTTTATGTACTTTTCAAATAAGAGGCATTTGTAAGAGAAGGCTGCTTCAATTCTCTGCCCGCTGGTGATGTGATGACATTAAGAGATTGACACATCATCACTGGGGCTTAGAGCCCCTTTATTTAGTGAGCTGCAGGTAAGGTATTGCTACTAATTTAGCTTTATATTAGTGGATGGGCACCTTGCTGCTCCCTCACCTGTGCCCCATCCTGCAGGGTGCCCAGGGAAACCCGTGAGAATGCTGGACTTTGGAGTTGGTGGGATCTGGTAGAGGCTGTACTGCATGGGACCTCTTGGGAGTTATTTTTTTTAATAAGCGATTAGAAAGGCTTTTTCTTAAAGTGAACAATTTAAGAAAAATGTCAGCAATGCACACTAAACATTAATATAAAAAAGCTCCCACCTCAAATCCTTTTAATATTAAACAAGTAAAGCAGATTAGGATGCTTAAGCAGAAGTAACTAAGTCAAACTGATTGAAAAATAAGTGCTGAAAGATCAGGACCTGTGCACAACAAAGCACTGGATTTGTCAGGAAACCTACAAATTTACTTTTTTGTGTGCGTTCCCACTCGTAATTAGAAGAAGCAGAGCTAAGGAAACAGCAGTGAGTGGAAGGAATCCGAGGTTGCGGTTGGGTTGGTTGGTGATGCATTATGCATAAGCTCTGAATAACCATAACATGGGAGAATGGGGGATTGTTTTGCTCCCCCATTGTTGTTCTGAGTGAACTTGACGACAGTCGTGGCTTGTGCTCTGCCTGAGCACACTGTGCTGTCCCCAAAACTTGGGTTTTTCCAAAGAGCAGGGAGGTGATTGGCAGGCCTCTGGCAGCGCCCACGGTGCACATTCACTGCTGCTCGCAGGCAATTGCCCTCATCTTTTGACAGTGTGGAAAGGTACAGCTCTCTCTTGGTGAGAGTCGGGCTTCCGTGTTAATCTTGTACCCCAGAAAGGTCAGTTAATGAGACAGGGTCTTTCATACAGCTCTCCAAGGGATATCTATGCTGTATATTAAAATAGGACCTAAAATACAAGTTTTAGCAAGTCAGTAGTAGAACCAATGATCAGAAGGCGGCTGTGTATTATTAATGGCTCTTGGATTCCCCTTTTCCCCCCATCTTTTTCTCTGAAAGTGCTATGGAAGCTTGGGAAGGAAATGTGTGCTCGTATTGTGGACGTGACTCGTTTCACTAACCATACATACGTGTGTTCTATTTTTAAGCCAGTAGTGAAAAATTTAAGAGTACATGGTCTGTCTGAGATACAGTGCTCGGAAAGCATTTATTTTAACTTTATATGCTGTAGATTTATTTCAAGCAGCAGAAACGAACTGCTTTATCTTCCTGGGAAGATTCTGTCTTTCAGTGCTAGTTTTTCTTTAACTGTGTGCACCTTATTGTCTATTACAAAAAGAGATTTTTCTAGGTCTGTGCCATGCGGATCTATACCACGCAGTTCCTGGGGTGTGAGGGTTGTCTGGATAAGAAGGGCTACAGATAAACACAGTCATTTAGCAGTGACTAGCAGCGATCAAATATATAGTAGCCCTGGAGGAATTAATGAATTGCATTATAAATGTAATTAATGATTTACTCTTGCATTTCACAGTTGAAAAGCAGGTTTTGTGCCCAGAATGTTTTACTCTGCATCATTAAACCGTGGGAAGAGTTGAATTACAAAAGTTAACTTCTTGCTTTCAAGCTGAAATTACAGCTTTGACCACGTACTTAGAGTTACAAATCATTTATGGTGGCTGGAAACTTGGGACTGTAGTTATTTGCAGCTTTGACAGTAAGACGCATTTAGGTTTGTTTTGTGTATGCGTGTTTATTAAATAAGAAGAGCAGCTCTATATTTGTGTGTCTGTCAGGAGACAGGGGCGTGTTCAGAACCTAATCTGAAACTCCCTGAATTTAGTTGCGGTCTGTCCGTTGACCTCAGCGGTCTCTTTATTGAATCCTCCAGCAGCATCTTCCATTGTACAAATGTACTAAAGGAAATCCCATCAACAAGTATTATTTCCCTCTGCTTCTTCCTTTCTCTTGTACCATGCACAGTATAGCTAGCCTAGGCAGTCTGAAGATAAGCAGAACGGAAAGTGATGGATCATAAAGACTGTATTGTAACAGTAAGCTAGCTCTGTGACAGCTGTAAATTAAACAACTGTCTTCTTACAAACACCTTGTTACACTTTACATTGATAGATGACTTTTTAAGATTTATTTTTTCCTTTTCTGTGAAAAGGAGTGACATGCTGAGTATTGATTTCCCCCCCCTCCTTCATTTTAATTTGCAGTTATCTCTAGGCAGTAAATAAAATATTATTCTTTCTGCTCCTAGTGACTCATGGTGCTAACTACTGTCATTCTATAAACAGATTCAGCTAAGCTGGAATCTTTTTAAGTAAAAATCACTTGCATAAGAGCAATCCTTGTGAGAAGAATGCAGGATATTATACAAGAAGCCCCTTAACGTTAAGAAGGCTTCTGTTTATCAAAGCCACAGCTTCAGTAGTTCTGAAAAGCGCTTCTAGGAAGCCTCTTTAAAGTTACTACTATTTTCCAGGGATATAATTTTATATGCTTCATAGTATTGCCTGCAAACCCAGACAGTATATCATTATCTAATTTTTTTTTTTAGAAGGATTTTTCTGAAATACATATACTGAAGTGCTATGGGGCTTTTGCTGGAAAGATCTCTCTAATGCCCCTAACTTCCCCCTCTCCCCCTACCAGGAATGCACTGTGATAAACTTTCTTCTGTCTATGATGATCCTTAAAACTATTTTTTTTTTTTTTTTAATTGTTGGTTATGCATGTTCCTTTTATGAGTTCATCATGCTGAACTACTGAATTCAGTCAGATCTCTTCTTCCCATACCCTCCTTGGGTTGTGTATATTGTTGTTTTGTAATTATATTGCCTGTTAGTTTGGCGCTTCTGAAGATGCCTGAACTTGATTTGAGGGCTGAGTTTTGAAGCATGCTGCTACCCTTTTCTTTCAGCACTTGCCCTCTCTACTAACCTTTTGGGTTTTTGAGTCTAGGAATTTAGCTATTTCCTGATATTTCCTCTAGGACAAGATGTGTAATATTCCTTCTTTTCCCACCTTCCCCCTAATAAGAAACTTTGTTTGGATAGCAGTTATGCCAGTGTTGCTGGTGGACTGATGATGATGTCTTCTTACCTGTCCTTCCATCTGTAAGTTCCACCCAAGTCAAGGACCCCATTCTCTGTAGACAGCTATTTCTGCCCGCCTCCAAAGACTGTTGGCTGAGCGTGACTGGGATATTGCTAGCCCGGGAAAGTAGTTAGCAGCTTAGACAAATAATGAAGGGTGGTTTAATAGTTTAAAATATGTGGTGGTGATGCCAGAAATGTGCATGTTGCTCTGTCTCTGCCCCGCGCTTTTTGCATGACTAAGTCATGCAATCTCACTGTTTGACATTCCCATGTACAAAGTGGGGTCCATGCGTTTCTCGCCTCATCTGCTATAGGGGAAACGCCGCAGTGTCAGTGATGTACTATGAGTCTGTAAAGTGCCATGTATAGCCCTGGTCTAGGCAGGGTCCTGTGTGCTGAACTATAGTAGAAATAAACATAGTCAGTCGATAGAGTATTCTTAGATTGGTTCAGAGGGCCTTGAAGAGCATGTTTGCTCCTTGAGGTAGGAGCCTGTTTCTCCTGAATGGATTATTCTTCTAATGTCCAAGTAGCTGAGGTCCTGGCTATGGCTTGGTCTGCTGGTTTTGTTTGTTTGGGTTTTTTTGTTTGTTTGTTTTCCTGCAATGGAAAAAATGATATCTCTGCATTAGTTGTAGAAGTGCAGATTATGTTTGCTGTGAAGCTCTGTAGTTCCTATTAATACTGATGCATTTTTCTTCCCCTTTCCCTCTTCACAGTGGGAAGAAGTAAGCATTATGGATGAAAAGAACACTCCGATCCGCACCTATCAAGTCTGCAATGTGATGGAGCCCAGTCAGAATAATTGGTTACGAACTGATTGGATTCCCCGTGAGGGGGCTCAAAGGGTATATATTGAAATCAAGTTCACGCTAAGAGACTGCAACAGCCTGCCAGGTGTCATGGGAACTTGCAAAGAGACTTTCAACCTTTATTACTATGAATCAAACAATGATAAGGAGCGTTTTATTCGAGAGAGCCAGTTTGCCAAGATTGACACCATTGCTGCTGATGAGAGCTTCACCCAGGTCGACATTGGTGACAGGATCATGAAGCTGAATACAGAGATACGGGATGTGGGACCGCTAAGCAAGAAAGGGTTTTACTTGGCTTTTCAGGATGTCGGTGCCTGCATTGCTTTGGTGTCTGTCCGTGTCTTCTATAAGAAGTGCCCGTTGACAGTTCGAAACCTGGCACAGTTTCCAGACACCATTACCGGGGCTGATACATCCTCTCTGGTGGAGGTTCGTGGCTCCTGCGTCAACAACTCGGAAGAGAAGGATGTGCCAAAAATGTACTGTGGGGCAGATGGCGAATGGCTGGTGCCCATTGGCAACTGTCTGTGCAATGCTGGCTATGAAGAACGTAACGGTGAATGCCAAGGTAGGATGAGCCATATTGTACTCTTCATTAGGGCTTAGTTGAATGCATAATTGAATTGGAGATGAGAGTAAATGGAGTAAAGCCAGTAATTAGCAGCCCCCGTGGGATGTGGTGGGACAGAGGGGTTTAATGAAAAAGTCCAATAGCTCCAGGTGGCAGGGCTAAAAATTATATAATGCAAAACAAGTGATACTGCCATAATAGGCAGAAGGCGAAACACATTTGCTAGCAGGCGCCTAAATTTGAATTGGCTCACGACAGTCACCAAAATGTGAATGACTGCGAAACAGTGCAGTCGAGCTACCGTCATTTAAAGAGACACATCTTTCAAGTTTTATCTGAAGTGAACTTTGTTAAGCACAGGAAATTCTGGCAACGTTTCCTCTGGATAATGTGGTGGGGCAAGAACCAGTTGGAGTGGTGGGGAACAGAGTTTTAGCTGGATTACTTTCCCTCGTTGGGAAGGGGAAGTCTTTGGTGTTTTACTTGTTGCAAATTTTTAGCACTAAATAACCCTTTGATATTTGACACTGCTGCCTTTGTTAAATATTTTCATTTCTCAGAGGGTCTCTATTGTCAGCCTAATAATAGAGGTGCTAGGATACTCTTAGAAATGCTAGAAGTCTCCACCCCACCCTCCCACACACACCGTCCTGTGTGCTGCAGAATTAGGGATTAAAGTTTGTATAAAAGACAGATTATCCTAAAAAGAAAAAAATCCTCAAACCCTGTGTTTTCTTCACCTCCCCTTTCTGGAAAAAGAAGTTGTAAAAGGTGAGGGAAGGGAGTTTATAAATAAAATATCTTCAGCCTCAGCTTCTAAACTCTTGCTCCTGTAAGCATGAATTAAGATCAAACTGGAATGGATTCTTGCACAGGTCAGTGGGCTTAATTTTGCTGGGTGCTGAAGTGAAGGTGCTCAACTTCTTAGTGTATTTGGCCCCATGTTTTTGGAAAAGGTTCTCTGGAGGCAGGTGACTTCGCTTTGCATCTTCTGGCTGTGTTTTTCACTAGGTCATTTTTTTCATCTTGAGACTGAGAACAAGATAGCGGAGCAAGTAACTGAGTGCTTTTGTGTTGGACTCCTAAGAGAACAGTGTCTTTTGAATGTCCTACTTGATTTCTTTTAAATGATAATTTACTGTCAATATGAAGTTCATTATTATGCATTGAAATTATACTTATTTCTTCTTTCCTGCTGAAGCTTAAACTTCAGCCTTCCTTTGTAGTGTTTTTGCTATATGGAAAAATGTATCAGCAAGAGAATTGCCATGGGCTGTAGAGAGAACTGAAAGATGAGCAGCATGATGATGGGGCATCCTGTGTGGGATAAATTACTCTCTTTTTGGAATCCTGTGAGAAGGAAACTTGGAAAACCCATGTATCGTTAAACACGCAAACCCATGGCTGTGGCACTGACTGGGTGCTGCTGGGGAGAGCTGTTGGTGGCTGGGGAGATGCTGTTACTCTCTAACAGCTCTAACTTCTGTGCAAAGGTTCCTGACACCTTTACAGACTGGGTTGTGAGAGGAGGAAGTGAATGGGAGGGTGGAAATAATCTTGGTTTATTGCATGGAGATTATTCCATCTTCTCCTAAAGGCTTATTAGGTCAGTACTGGGTCACTCTGACGGACACAGATCTATCATTTCTTGGCATTGGTGGCCCAGATGTGATGAGCTAATTGCCTAAAAAATCCTGTTGCTCAAGGGAAGTCTCTTGAGGTTTTGCTGGTGGGCAGTGGTGATAGTGGGATGCTTTTTTTGAATTTATTTTTGTGATGTTGGACTAGACTTTGGGGATGAATGTCGGCTTACCTACCATCTCTTGGCTGCACCCAGGGAAACCTGGGCTCAGGAAAACCAATTCTCTGTTTCCAAAGTAAAAGCAAGGTCAGGGGATGCTGTATTTATGAAGGGGATGGAGCTTTCTTGAGCTCTCCAAAGTGAAGTTGGCCTGTACTAGCCATTTTGAGAGGATTTGAGCCAGCATGTAATTTGAAAGCACTAAACCTATTTTGTCAGCAGTTATTTGTGGTTTCCTTTTCTCACATTTGCTGCTCTCCAGCCAGAACAGTTTACCAGGAAGCTCTTCTTGAATTCATGAAGTTTACCAGAACTATGTAGCTTGCTCTCCGGCCTCCAGTGAGGCCGTTAAAGAAGTTTGGCCTTTGACACTGCTGAATGAGGCTTCCCCTTTTCTTATCCACTTAACTTCATAGTTCAGCAAATGTTCTGCTCTGGCAGGTTTTTGGAGGGGAGGGGGAGGATAAAGAAAGGAGGACCAGCGCTGGTGAGCAGGTTCCACCTCAATTGTTTTTCAATAGGTTGACTGTGGCAGGACAAATACAAGGAAAGGTCAGAGGTTGTTGGTTTCCTCATCCATCTTCCCCTGTGATCCTAGGGTCAGAGATAGGACTGATTAAGATCTTAAATGTTTGACAAAAGCTTGGTGGGTAGAAATAGTTTAGGCCGGTGGATTGGGGCTTTGCACTTGTGGGGAGATCCACAGGAGATGTTGGAGCTGCCTGCCCTCTCCTGGGACCTGCCTGCTGCCTCGAGTCCGCTCAACCTTCTGATTCTTAAATAATACATTTTCCTTGAGCTGCTTTTGCTTAATTTCTAATGTGTGTGTGGGAAGTGTAATGGGAAGCCACTTCACATCTAACGCGGTTCCTGTAGTGGGAGTTAATGACTCTCTGACCTTGAACAGGATTTTTAAAAAAATTGTGTTGGTGGTATGGAAGTGTTTGAATGTGACAAAAACTTGTCCTTCCTCTGACTGCTATTTTTTTTTTTCCAGCTGACTGTATTGATAATAATTGTCTTAGTGAAAGTCTGTGTGTGTGCATGTATATATGCAAAAACCCAGGGTAGAAAGGGAAAGGAGCCAATAATCCATATTTACTTGGGAAGCTTTACAGGTGTGTCACAGGAGTGGTTCCACAAAATTGGTCCTGATCAGTAGAAATATTAGGTGAGCAATGACTCTTTTCTTCTGGGTGAATTTGTAGCTGTGTACTTGATGCTGGGGGGAAAAAAAAAGCTTGCTGTTGATTTTTTTTTTTTCTTTATTATTTATTCTCCCCCAAACTTCTTGCTTTAATGGCTATCCATTTAGGAGAGCATAAATGTGGAATATTGTTGATGGAGACGAAACTATCCTAACTAGTGACGCATCTCGAGGCTAAGGTAATTAGTGCTTTAGGGCAAAGTTGAGACATAAAGTAGTTTTAAACTTTGCTTGTATGCATCATTGTTATGTAAATTGGTTTGTTACACATTAATATAATGTGGTTTGGATTTAGTTACGATTTCCTTATGATAAAATGTATATCTTTTTAACTTGGAGGAGGGAGAAAACAAGCAGGAAGGGAGAAAAAGACAGATTAAAGAAGCAATAGACTGTAGCCATCTGTGATGATTTTGATGCTGTGAAATTACAAATCTCAATTTTAGACCTGCCACTTAGTATAAATATGTGAGACAGTTGAGATTTTTACTGTGATATTGTAAAGGTTATAAGAGCCAACAGCTTTGTCTTCATCTACACTTGCTTTTTTGAGTTGTGAATTGGCCAATTGGCAGAAAATCCAGTGTCATTTAAAATATGGCTCAGTCCTGGTTGCATATCACAGCTGTTTTTAGAATTTTCCTTCGAACTTTGATAAGAGCATCCCTAAGAAGTAATAATTTGAACGATAAGATTCTTTTTATCTCAGAGGCTTTGAAGAGTGGCTGTGATCACTGAGAGCAGCAGTTCAGTTTACATCAGAAGGGTACAGTTTAATTATATTTTTTTTCTGTGATAAGATTTTTTTTGGATGGTGGGTTTTGTAGGGGCGGGAAAGTGAGGTAATTTGTGTGTACTTTCCCATTTTAGTCAGAGACAACTTTTTTTTTGTCAGAATAACACTGATGAACAGTCTGGCTGCACAAAAGGGTAATCAGAAGGGTGACTAAGACTGTGCAGATTTGAGATTTCAGAAGGATTTTTTTCTTTCAGGTTGATTATTTTTGGCAGGGGAAAAAAAAATTCACAGACTCAACATGTTACACTTTAAAAGGAGCTGAGAAGACGGAAGCTTCCAGGAGGGGCATGGGAGCGATACTGAAACACAGTCTGTCTAAACCAAATTTAGTTGGTTGTCTTGTCTGCTGGAGGAGTGATTTGGTTTTGTTATGCTCTCATGTAGCTCAATAGATCTTCCAAGGGTTGCTCCCTCTGTGATTTTTGTACCACCTGGTGCAGTTCAAACTCTCCCATTTAAACGTCATTGAAGGCTCTGTAATGCTTTCCTCCTCCCTGGCCCCCTCAGAAGTCAAGCTACAGTTGTCAAGCAATTGTCCCTTTATGTATCCCTTGAAGAAAGGCTGGGATTGTTTCCTTCTGAATTCCCGACAAAATTTCTGCTGGTTCACAGGGGAGCAATATCTGGTCCTTATTCTGCCTGTTACTAGTAAAAAGCACAGTCCTCAGAATCAAAGCCAGATGAGCTGTTGTGGTGGTATGAATTTCATGGCAGGCCTGGGTAGTCTTTTGTAGGGCATATAGACCATCTTCTGGGTTTTTCGTGTGGGTGGCTTTTCTTTTTAAAAAAAAAAAAAAGGCAACCCCAAACTTTCCAAACAACTCGTCTTGTGTGTGATGATTTCAGTATTTAGATCTTGGCTGGGTAAGTGTTATTATCTGTCTAATAACATGCTCCACTGAGCTTGGTCTTTCTTGCGCTTGTGAGAAGTGATTAAAGAAATGCTCAGCAGTTTACTTCAGTCTTTTGAGACTGCATCAAAAAGCCCCCCAAACTTGAGATAAATATCTTATCTGGTTTCGTTCTATTGTGCCACATCCTTTTGATATGTCTCAGGGAGCAGGTGAGGTCACACAGTTTTGTGAATCAGAGACAATTAACACTCCCATGACTAAATGGCCATTTATGAATATTCAGAGCCTGCTTCACCTCCCTGGGAAGCAAACATGTTGGTTCCCTTCTCTTTCCTC